CACACACACACACACACACACACACAAATAAATAAAATTTTTTTTAAAAATTTCCATTTAATCTGACAATGCCATTCATAACACTTCCGTTTTAAAAAATGAAAACTAAGCCATATATGGTGGCACAAGCCTGTGATTCCAGCACCCTGAGAGGCTGAGCAGAAGGACTCAACACTGAAGCCCAGCATCTGAAGTTAGGATATATACCATTAAAAACTAGAGGAAATGTAGAAAGCCAACCTCACATGAAGATTAGTTCAAAAACTCATACTAGGGCTGGCCTAATAGCTCAGCAGATTAAAGCGCCTGTAAGCAGGCGCAGGAGCCAGATGTTCAATCTCCAGGCCTGCTGTCCATCCCGGGATTCACTGAGAAGGCAATTGAGACTGGCCGTGGCGGTGCATGCCTGTAATTCCAGCTCTTGGGAGGCTATAAACAGGTGGATCACCACAAGTCCGATCTAGCAGTGAGACCCTGAACAACCTGTAGACCCTTCTCTAAAATACAAAAACAAACAAACAAAAAAACCTCATACTATATTCCCTTTCCCCATGGTTCAAGCTGCAGTGATACTAAAATAAAACCCTGGCAGTCCTACCTGTGATACATGACATGAAGGTCTGCCGGTAGTGTGCTGGGGACTGAAACGCTGCAGGCACGCGGGTCTGCCGCTGTGGAAGAGGCGATTCTAGCTTCTGCCTGCTTGGGAAGCACAACTCAGAGCTGCTTATCTCCTGCAACAGGAAGGTTCAAGTCACTACAGGACTCGGGAAGATACTGTTTGTGACTGAGTATTGCTTCCAGAGATCTGTCCCACCATTATCCTAGTAAAGATCCCACCAGCAAAACTAATTTGCAACTCAAAAATGCAAACAAGGGGCCGGGGAGATGGCTCAGTGGAATAAGCGCTTCCCTGGCAAGCACAAGGGTCTGAGTTCAATCCCCAGTTCCACCAAAAAAAAGCAAACAAAGTAGTACTACCAGCACTGGGCACGTAAGTAAAAGCTGAACTCTGTGAAGCACTTAGGATGTGCCAGACACGCTGAGATCTAATCTTGGTCAATGTGCACAACTACAGTACTAGGAAAGTTTCAAAGAAAACAAGAGGACAGGGGCTGGTGAGATGGCTCAGTGGTCTAAAGCACCTACTGTACTTAGAACAAGCTTAGCAAAGCACAGGGACCACGGTTCAATCCCCCAGCACCACATGCCAGCCAGCCCCGCCCCCTGGTGGGCTGAGCTGGCCATAATAGAAAAAGCTTTAAAAAGAAAACAAGAGAACAAGACTGTGGCTAGAGTTTGGCCTTTAAAAGCCACCTAGGGGGCTGGAGAGATGGCTCAGTAGAATAAGCGCTTGCCTGGCAAGCGCAAGTGCCTGAGTTCAATTCCCGGTTCTGCCTATAAAATAAACATAACCAAGTCTTAGGGGGCCAGGGAAATGGCTCAGTAGGATAAGCGCTTGACTGGCAAATGCAAGGATCTGAGTTCAATCCCCGGTTCTGCAAAAATATAAACTAAAATAAAAAAACAAAAGCTACCTGCTCACAAAACACTTCTTGCTATCTAGTTTTGCACATTCCTCTGTGGAAGATGGGAAGGGACGCCCGCAACCCCGCTCACCTGTGAGCCCTGCGCCCCAAAGCCAGGTCTTCCCGACTCTCTCCTTGTGTGCTGCATCCTGGGTGTCAGCCCTGGGTTTGGGCAAGTGGCTCCCTGCCAGGAATCTTGGGCTCGGGGCCCGTGCAGCGCAGCCCTGAGCATCCCCATGCGCACTGGGTTTGAGGAGCCCGGAAGTCCGGCGTCACCTGCACCCCGGGTCACAGCCACTCCGAGGGTGTTCTGATCCCCATCATCCCTGGCAGGCAAAGTGCGCAGGGTCAGGCTCTGGTACTTCAGCCACTTGCTCTGCGGGGATCTGTTCCCAAGCTCTATGATGCCCCTGGATTCTGCGGGAAAGGAAGCTGCTCCGCAAGGAGCTCTGGGGTCCACGTCCTTGGGGGACCCAGTGGGTTCTTGGGGGGTGGTTCGGCTCCCCGCCCAGGACAGAGCAGCATCACACGGCCCCTCAGCAGGTGGCGAAGTAGAGAAGGGAGACTCCAACTGGAGACTCTGCAAGCTCTTCTTCTCCAGAGAACTAAATCTTTTCATTCCTAGAAGAAGGCAGAATGCAGACCAAATAAAAATGTACCACTAGTCAGTGCCCAGCTCAAAAACCCAAAGGGATTGCACACAGCGAAAAGAACCCGCTTGCCCTGCAAAAGCAATGTGTTGTTTTATTTCCTTTTAAAATATTAATAGTAAAAAAAATAATAATAAATAAAAATAAATAAAATAAAATATTAATAGTAATAAATAAATAAATAAAATATTAATAGTAATAAATAAATAAATAAAATATTAATAGTTTTGGGGGCTGGGGCGATGGCTCAGTAGAATAAACGCTTGCCTGGCAAGCACAAGGGCTTGAGTTCAATCCCCGGTTCTGCCAAAATAAATAAATAAAACAAAATATTAATAGTTTTAAATCTCAAAAAAACAAGGGGCTGGCCATATAACTCAGCAGATTATTACTTTTAATATATATATTACTTTTAATATAGTCCCCTTTGCCTAAGCTCCCCTAAGCAGGCACTTTTTTTTTTGGTGGAACTGGGGATTGAACTCAGGCCCTTGTGCTTGCCAGGGAAGTACTTATTCTACTGAGCCATCTCCCTGGCCCAAGCAGGTGCTTTAGACCACTGAACTACCTCACTAGCCCCAGTTTATCCGATTAGGGACCAGGGTCTGATCCCCATGCCATGGCAGCCCTGCACCTGGGGCAAGTTGAGTCAGGAATTGAACCTGGGTGTAGTGGCGCACGCCTGTAATCCCAGTGCTTGGGAGGCTGAAAACAGGAGAATCAGTATGAGTCTGATCTATGTAGTGAGACCCTGTAGACCCTGTACTAAACACATTGTTAAAAAATGAATGAATGAATGAATGAATGAATGAATGAATAAATAAATAAATAAATAAATCTAAAAAAAAAAAAAACCAAGAATTTTTGTCTGTTCGTCTGGTGTGGTGGTACATGCTGTAATCCCAGCACTGGGGGGCTGAGGCAAGAGGATCACAGTGAGCTCCAGGCTACATCGTAAGTTCAAGGCCAGCCTGAACTACATGAGAGCCAGTTTAAAAAACCCAAAATAAATCCTTAAGGATTTCAAAGCTTAATTTATATGTTTTCAAACTTTTAAAATTCTGATGAACTTGAAATGTTTCATTTTTTTCTTTTACAACTTAGCTAAGTAGGAATTTTGGAGTTTTTTTTCCAAATTGCTATATTACATTTACTCAGCACCTCAGTTTTCAAAACATATTTAGGCCATACATCATTCTCATTAGAGAGGTGAAATGACACCAACCCAAAAGTTACACCTCTTGCCAAGTGGCAGAATCAAGCCAAGGTCCCAAATCTGGTTCTTGTTTGTTTTGGGGGCTTTTTTGGGAAGAGGGGTAGTAGGAATCAAACTCAGATTTTTGTGCTTGCCAGACAGGCACCACACCACTGAACTAATGTCCCTAGCCCACAAGGTCTAGTTTTTTTGTTTGGTTGTTTTTTTTTTAAATCTCTTTATTTTTTTTTTAATATTTTTTAAAATTTATTTTATTTATTTGTGTGTGTGTGTGTGTGTGTGTGTGTGTGTGGCCAGCTCAGCCCGCCTGGGAGCAGGGCTGGCTGGCATGTGGTGCTGGGGGATTGAACCATGGTCCATGTGAGTTGCTAAGCTTGTTCTAAGTAGGTGCTTTAGACCACTGAGCCATCTCACCAGCCCGTTTTTTTTTTTGTTTGTTTTTTGGTTTTTTTTTTTCAGAACCGGGGATTGAACTCAGGCCCCTGCGCTTGCCAGGGAAGCACTTATTCCACTGAGCCATCTCCCTGGCCCCAAGGTCTAGTTCTTGATGTCAATTTTCTAATCCTTCTCCTGAGACTAGAGTTCATGGTTTGTTGATAACTATGTGAGCGAAATTTCCTTTACATAGTATTATACTCATGAACTATTATGCTATCCTTAGTGCAAAGGTGAGGTGAAGTGAGGTGAGATGAGGTGAGGTAAGAGGTGAGAGGTGAGAGGTGAGGTGAGAGGTGAGAGAGGTGAGGTGCGGTGCGGTGCGGTTTGTACCGGGGAATCAAACTCAGGATTTTGCACTTGCCAGGCAGGTGCTTATGCCATTGAGCTATCTTCCACGCTCTTTTTTGATCTTTTGACATGTAGGAACAGTGCACTTCTGGTAAGCTCCAGGGATATCCTGTCTGATGAATTTTCTATAGCAGTTTTGGCATATAGATCCATGAAATGTATAAGCAGCAAATATCCACTGAATAAATAACTGAACAAATAATACTGCATGGGAATTACACAAGCTTAAAAGTTTTTACCTGAAAAATCCTCTGGATCCTATTCTATAATAATCCACCTTCCGGACCACATATTTCTATCTTGTGAATAAATCCTTTCGGAAGTAGCAGAGCAGTAGGTGAGTCAATAAATATTTTATATAAACTGCTACACTGAAATTCTAATAATTTGATCTAGCGGCACTGGCAGGAAAGTTAAAGCTCCAATAAAGAAGTAATGGAGTCACAGCATAACTGTGAAAATCACCTGTTACTCTATGGACATTTCACTTGTTTTAGGATACCTCCTCCTCCCCTACCACTCATTATACCATTTCCAGTCCAATTATCTATTCTCATTAAAGTTCTTTTCATTTTTATACTTTCCACCCACAACCATAACATTTTACCTACAACTTAGCCCTCACCCAACATAACTTCAGAATCAAAGGAAGACACATTGATGTGATTATAAGAAAAGAGAATTGTGGGGCCAGGGAGATGGCTCAGTAGGATAAGCGCTTGACTGGCAAACGCAAGGATCTGAGTTCAATCCCTGGTTCCACAAAAAAAAAAAAAAAAAAAGAAAGAAAAAAGAAAAGAGAATTGAGAGCCGGTGTGGTGGTACACGCTTGTAATCCCAGCAGTCAGGAGGCTGAGGCAGAAGGACAGCCATGAGTTTGAGGTCAGCCTGGGCTACATAGGGAATTCAAGACTAACCTAAACTACATAGTGAGGGGCTGGTGAGATGGCTCAGTGGTCTAAAGCACCTACTTAGAACAAGCTTAGCAAAGCAAAGGGACCACGGGTCAATCCCCCAGCACCACATGCCAGCCAGCCCCGCCCCCTGGTGGGCTGAGCTGGCCACACACACACACACACACAAACACACACGCTCAGAATTGGCTGAGAGGTGGAAAAGCTGGTATGTGTTTGTCTGCCTGACTTCCTTTCCCTTTCTTTTTTTTTTTTTTGCTGAACCAGGGATTGAACTCACTCACACTCACACACACACACACACACACACACACACACACACACACATAAATTTAAAAAATTTTTTAAAAAAAGTCAGAATCTTACATATGAGTACTGTAACTCAAAGGAGGAGGGGTTTATTCTGGCTCATGGTTTCAAAGGATTCAGCCCATGACCGCCTTAGGCAGAAACATCATGGCAGAAGGGCATGGCAGAGGAAAGATACTCACCTCACAGTACCCAGAAAAGAGCAAAGGGGAAGAGAGCTGAGAGAAGAGGCCACAGGCCAGGTGTGGTTCCCAAGATCACGTCCTATGACCACATCCTCCACCGAGGCCCATCTCCTGCTAGGCCAGCCCCTCTGAGTTCCTTCATGGGCAAAGTTAAGCCTCAGGGAGGGCCAGCCACCCATCCAGTTCCTCCCAGAAGACTCTTAGTCACTCAAGTTGACCATCAAGACCATCAGGCACCGTCTGACAACACTGAGACCCAAGTGCATTGCGACCTACAGCACAGAGGGAAGAGGCAGAGGTCAGGCTCAGGGCCCCATGGGGGAGACTGAGGAGTTTACAACAAACCAGGCCTCCGGCAAGAGAGGCCATGGGGAGTCTCTGGCTCTAAGGCAGCAGCTGTGAGAAGCACTGATGGGAGAAGACACTTTCAGAGGGATGCAAAGAGGAAGTTGAAAGGAGAACGATGGAACTGGGAGCTATGAGGACATTTTTGATCCAGAAAAGCTGTCCACGGAAGTCAAAAGGATGCAAAGCATGAGCAGCCTTTGAGGAATAAGACCCAGAATCTGGTTTTCAGATTGTCTCAGTGTAGTTTATCTCTCAGATTAAATTAAAAAAAAAAAAAAAAAAAAAAACAGTCATGCTGCCTGGACAGACGGATTCGAGCAGTATCACCATCACTAGCCCCCAAGCCAAGAAAGCAGTCACCAGGTAGTGTTCTTGCTCCCAGGGACTCTTCAGAGAATTCCACCATGAAGTCGTCATGCTTCGAGTCCAAAGAAAAAGCAGCAACAGGGCTCAACGTAGAGATCCTCTGTTCTGGGGAGGACACCTATCCAGAAAGAAGCAGCAAATCATAGACCAAACTCTTCTTACATGCTTCCCTTATGGCTTAAATGAATTATAGTAATCTCTATTAAAAATAAAAACATTTTTTAAAAACCTCAATCCAGGGGCTGGTGAGATGGCTCAGTGGTCTAAAGCACCTACTTAGAACAAGCTTAGCAAAGCACAGGGACCGCGGTTCAATCCCCCA